TCACAATTTTTTCCGTTACAAGTAATCTTGAGTATTTTCATGGGATTATCTTTCTGTTCAGTTTCCTATTTGTTTTCACGCTCAAACGAATGGTTTTTCACAAAGAGCGTTTGTAATATAGAGACTGGGTAGAGTAAAGGGTGGGACTTTACAAAAAAGGTTAATGTAACATAATTAAATGGAATCCTACTATCACTCTAATTAAATAATTAAGAGATTTAAGCTAAATACTGAAACACTATACGCCTTTACATTGTGGAAAAGTTAACACAGATACGGTCTACGTCTAAGACACATTTCTGGCTTAATATATGCACTAATGAGTAATGAATTGTAATAGATCAGATCAGACTTCCGTTGGTTGCGTATATCAATAGATAACCCAACAAAAATGATAATGATTAGGAGCATGTTGACATCAACAAGTGCAACATTTTAAATTTAGAGCACCAGGAAGCCAACACTCCATTATGGCTTGTGATACAGTACACTGCTGCTTACATCTACCAAATATCCACGTCATTTCGAAAAAGAGACAGAACTGGTTCTCATCTAAAAAACAAATCAATAAATAAAGTAGGTAGGTTCGTATAATAAAAATACTTCCTGGTGGGAATTGAGTTTGCCCGAAACACTTATCAATGCAGAACAAAAGAAGAAGAATCGTAAGGACTACTTTTGCACAGTAATTCATTTTTTTGTTGAACACTTAGGGTCTCTGTTGAAAATTTTCCAGGTGGCCTAATGAGAAAAACCTTCAGGTCTATTATTTTAGATTAATGAGAAAGTTTCTAGTCAATGAACACATCAACTACCACTGTCATTGCGGCGAGCAGAATAACACACCCACCTTATCATAAAAAAATGTGATAAAGTAATGCACAGAGGAAATTTTTGTTAATAGTTGAGCCTACCACGCAATTATTTGAGTAGCATAAAATAGAAAAATCAGATACATCTGAATGCCGAACGATTCTCGAGATCGTTTTTGGACTATAACTTTTTCACCCGATAGTTTAAGTAGCGGAAAAAAAAACAATTTAATACCTAGTTTGAGTGAAACCAAGTGAAGACTAAAGATGATTTCAAAGCTTCCCTTTATTCTCTTCCTTTTACTGTTACTGAAAGCATTAGCTAAAACCGTTGAATAAACAATTTTTCATTCAACGCTAAAACGCTTTTTATTTCATTGAGATGCTGAAGATTTGGTTAGCCATTTTCGTAATTATGTATCAGCCAATTCGAAATGTTCTGAAATTTGTTCAAATTCTTTAAATTTCGTTGTTAATTGATCTAAAATTATTCCATGTATTAGTCATTGATGAGTAAGAAGGAAATTTACGTTGTGTTATTACAATTGCGAAAGTATATAATTATATCCTACTATTGTACGGTTTTCATCGTAGGTACCTACCAACTTTAGTAACAAGACCTTAGGACAAAAACCCCCGGGTAAATTACCCCCAGTCAAAAACCCCTATCCATTAACCCCCGTCCCGCACATGAAACCACGGGTGACAATATCTCCCGGATAAATAACCCCTGGATAGTAAACCTCTCGCACTTGAACAATAACCCCTGAACAATTTAATACCTATGCACTCCAGGAAAATCTAACACTAACACTGTCATGCTTCTTTTGAACTCCTTGTTATAAAAGAAATTAAAAAATACCTCAAACCTACAAATAATCTAGTGTCCAACATGCTCCCTTTGAATTCCTTAAGAATTTGTATGAGTTTGCTTCAGAAAAGAACTCACATACGCGTATGTATCTACAAACTGTACAAAATGTCAAAGGGGGTTGTTGTCTCCCGGGGGTTAATGTAGAGGGTTTTTGTCCGGGGGGATTTTGGTCGTGTCAGCAAAAAATAGAATCAATCAACTCCCGTTTACAACGGAAATTGGCCCACACGACGTTACTTTCAGTTGAATGGTTTTTATTTATTTTTTGTCATGCTAAATTTCAAATCAACTTGAAGTACCTAAACAGGGTTTGCATAGACATTAGTATTTAGTAGGTATACTTGCTGATTACTTATGGATTCTTCCTAATCGCCCTATCAGCGTAAAATAACACCAATTGCCAATTGGTGAAATCCTCACGTAAATGGATTTCTCATAATATAACAATCTTCTTTTTTATTCTTCTTGTACCTAACAGGATATAGTCCTAATTGTTCTCAACAGAGGATTTCTACATTCTAAAGTGCCCATTTTCAAATGTTTTTTTAATCGGCGCGATATATAGGTAATTATTGTTTGCTAAAATCGCTCTGAGGCTAAAAGATTTCTATACCCGGTTCAATATTAAATTTAAACCCCGCACGTGTGACAACCTACAATGCAGGAAACAAAAGAAAAAATCAAAATTACAGTCAGTATACAATTTTATTTTGGGAAAAACGTTTATCAGGACATTGCAATATATCCTAAAAAATGTTGCATGTTCCCTTATGTAAATGATTTTTTCAGTATAAGTTATTCCAGTTTTAGAAGATGGGCATAGCACTTTCTCTTCGGTAAACTCATACAGGATGTCTGCGTTATCTACGAGTATGTTCTTGGCGCATAGTAATCGAAAACTGATAACCTTCTAAAAGGTATCTGACAACATATATTGACACAGTTTTATCTTGTACGTGGTATACCTAAGTATAGATCATGGAACTCTTATTATGAAAAACATATCTACAGCACGTCTAGCCCTGCAAAATAACCGAAATTAGAACGACTTGTCCACAAATACAAGGTGGTCCATTGAGAAAAACCTTCAGGTCAATTATTTTAGAATTAAAAAAAGTTCTATAATAAAGTGACACAAAAAATTGTTGCAATAATTAATGCAGTGATGTACAGAGATAATTTGTTAAGCACAATTATTTGAGTATCAAAAGCTATTAATCAAAGTAGTTTATTAAATCCATTGATTGATGATTTAAAGCCTTCCTTTCCAATCATCTTAGCTAAAACTTTTTTCTTTCATTGGGAAATTTCGGATAACCGTTTGCTGAAAAACCCTTACGATTCTTTGGAAGAGGCTAGAACCACAGCTTTCTATAGGCTTTTCCGGGGTACCCAAACTTCGGAAAGGGCTAGATGACCCTCAATATTAAATCTCTTGAAAATTAAATAATTGGGCATTTTAGCTTACCTATTGTTGTTCGCCGTAGGTACCTACTAGTTCAGTTGTAACAGCATTTTATGAAGGAATCATTATAACGTCGAAATCGATATATTCAAGCAAAAAAATTAATGATGCCTACTTTGTTTTTACTGATTCGTATAGAAAACTAGATCAAAAGAAAATGCCTGTTGAAAAACCCTAGGATACATACATAAGAATAAAATATTTTATTAATTTTACTGCCAATTTGAAAATTAAGTTAAACAATCATACCTATTCAACATATACTATTCTCATAAAATACATAATCTAATTCAATTCAATCCAGCCATTAGCATTAGCAGAAAAATGGCCAATCTTTTGCTATGATTTTTTTCCCAATCATTATGATTAATATATAAAGGTGACATTTTTATATGTATTTGATCCAGGGCATTCAACGCAAGTTGATTCTATCAAAGTTGCATATTTCAAAACTGTTGAAATTACATGAAATAGGTACGTGCAAGGGCAAGTACTTTTATAAATTCGTATAAGGATATCGAATCGCCTTGTCGTTAATTCATATCCTAATTTAGGACCACAGCTTGCCACAATGAGCCAAATTCAATTTCCAATGAAGGCGATCACTTATGAATTCACTTGCCATAATCTCCATTGCATAACTTGCACATTCTGTAACTTAGTTTACGTGTGCGTCTTTATTTGGATTATTTAGTACCTACCTATACTTTTCACCTCGCTTTTCACTAAACAAGGATAGGTGTGAGTCGAATGTAAAAGAATCAAAATATGTATTAACAATATAATACTCCAGAAAATGTTGTTTTGTCCCCTAAAAGGCGATAAATGCAAGAAGTTTGTAATTTCATTTGTTTTTGTTGACAAACTGACTAATTAAGAAACACGCTTTTATATTCGAATTTCTGGTAATGTAGAAGGTGAAGTTGATACTGGGAGGACAAATACAATCGGTGACAGTGTATTTCGGTAGATATGTTTCGTTTAAAAACGTATTAAGCAGATACGGTCTTTAAATTTCCACATCAATTAAATTTAGTATCTAACCCACTATGCGGTTGTGGGATCGTTGAAAAAGCCCTAGTCGTCCAGTGTTGCGACAGCTCTTCCTCTTTGAGATGCTTATATGTTTTTACTATCCATAAACAATGAAGAATTTTCTTTTCGTATACCCTCTGCTGATTAGGTACCTAAAAAAACAAGTGTTGTCCTAATTAACCATCTCACATGGCACAAATTTTTGCCACCGAAAGCAAAAAGTACCCATTACTCTTTGCCCTGAAAGGTCGCGAATACTTGGACAACTGAAGAATACTCGTGGATGCGATTACGCTCAAGCCAAAATTTCCCAAGAAATTGTTTGTTAGAGAATTATCACTTCGCAACTGTTTGTTCCTCTAGGGAAATTGTTAAAATTTCGTACCGGTAATCTATTTGCAAATAGAAATCGAACCTGTCCCGCTTGCAAAAGAAAGTAGGTACCTACTATATGACATCGCACTTATAGGTATGCCTAAATGGACATTCTTAAGTTATATGTAAATGTAATTAAAATTCCCATTATTAACTATTTTTATGAAGGCTCGTTTACGCCGATAGAAAAGAAAAGTCTAGAGCACGGCCAAAGAAAGTGAATCGTTCACATCATCATACCGAAGGTGTGATATGGTTTTTAATCTAAGTTTAAGGACAGGCGAGGAGTGAAAGTTGGCATAGAAAAATCGTGGACAAATAAACACGTACATACCTACACCTACCATCCCCTTGAGCTAGGTATCGACATTAATTAACCATAGCACACTTAATTTGTAACATTGTTATTGTCAACTTGCGCTTTCACTATTAAAATTCTTTGGAATCCTTTAACATTACTAGAGTTCAAGGTAACAACGATTCACCTGTAGGTAATTACTGTATTTGTCTTTTTCTTTCGTTTACTCAACTTTTCTATATATACATCGAAGTCTTCAAATTGATTTCATAGCGTGTTCTGATACCGACGAGTTGGGTAAGTCTCTCCTTTGTACTTAACTTCAATTTGTAATATAATTCTTATTGCCGTAGCAAAATGAAGGTAATCGCCATTGCATTGGTCGCAATTATTTGCGCCGTTTCTGCTCAATTTCCAAATGGGAGAATTTTGGAGGGACCCGTCCCCAGTCTCTGCGCCCAACGTAACATTCATGAGCGCACACCTGATGGTAAGTTCCGTTTGCCTTTAATTTTCGTGAGTGTCCCAACAAATTATTTTAGGCAAGGGATACTTCATGAGTTGGAGAGATGCAAACCTCCGTGGTACTGAAGAAGATTGGTTAGGTGCCCGTAACTATTGCAGACAACGGTGTATGGACTCCATCTCTCTCGAAACAAGCGCTGAGAATGAGTGGATCAAACAAAAGCTCGTAAACGAACATGTTAGTATTACAACCCTATTTTACACAGCTTTTTACTGACGCTTTCAACATTTACAGGTGAAATACATTTGGACCTCTGGTCGCCTCTGCGATTTCAAAGGATGTGAACGTCCCGATCTACAACCGGTTTCAATCAACGGATGGTTCTGGACCGCAACTTTCCAAAAGCTCGCACCAACAACCAGCAGAGATCAAAACGACTGGTCTGAAAGCGGAGGAATTGGTCGTCCTCAACCCGATAACCGCGAAGCTCAGCAAGGCGGCGCCAATGAAAATTGTCTGGCGGTGCTCAACCAATTCTACAAGGATGGTGTTAACTGGCACGATGTTGCTTGTCATCATCGCAAACCGTTCGTTTGCGAAGAAAACGAAGAGTTATTGAAATACGTTCGTTACCACAACCCTCAATTACGAATCTAATCTATTTAATTTTGCTTTAGTAAGTAGGTAATTTACCTGAAGACTTGTACAACTTAAGAATAAAGTTTTAATTTATTAATAGTCGCGATTTTTAAGATGCAATGTCTCACACTCGTTCCCAAGTATAAAGGAGTTTTAAGCTTTTCCTGCAGTTCGTATATGTATAGTAACGAATGGTAGGTATAAATGTTATTCAGTTTGTATGCTCCATAATCCTTCTAAACACTCGATGACACGACCTTTTACTGCTCTTAGGAATTTAGGATGTTATAATGAAAGAAGGAAGTACCTGCTTCTTCTCTATGGCCAAGACACTCCTCTCACTTTTGATCTCGCATTGTTACTCTACTACTAGGTATACATTCGCATTGAGTTCTTCCAGTACAGTCTTTGACCTTTTTAGGCTTGAAAACTCGGAAAGTCCTTACCATTGTACATTGTTTATTATTTGTTTCGCAACCAGTGTCAACTACAAAATGTAATGCATTCTGTTTTCACTATCCTATTGTTTTTCATAAGTTGCGATTTTCGTTGTATGCAATACTAGTGAACGACATTTATTGAATAGGTATTCAAAATAAGTGGGACATATTTCACGTGTTCGAACCTTTTTTAATTTCCTAATAAGAAGTACGTGCACATTTTAGTTGAGATACATTGCATACGCTAAAAATACCTCTTATATTTCTAATTATTATGGGGTGGATATATCAGTTCAAACGATAATCATATAAAAAATAGAACAACCACTGAAGGATGAGCTTTTTAAGTACGATTTAGTGGCAGGAGTTCAACAGAATAGGTAGGAAGTAGGAATAGGTAGAATCTTCTATTGAAGTGCATTGAATAGGTAGGTACGGATCCAACTTGATTTCTTAGTTTCTATTATATGCTTTAATTAGATATAGGTACAACATACATATGCTACCAACCTATACCTATTTCCAGGAATTACCATAGGGAGAGTCATATAATCGCCATGAAGACATTCTGACGTGCTTTATTAGAAAACTTTACATGAACAGGTCCATGTAGTAGGTACATACATGCTACAGGCAAAGAGTATCCATAGTTACTCTTTGCTATAGGCACCTACTTACATAGCAGAGCTTTATTTCCTTACTGCACTTTGCAGTTTTCATTTAGGTATATCTAAAACTTTCACCATGATATCTATATCTGATTCGAGAGTCGGATGTTAGAAATATGGAATTCAAAAATGTAAGGGAATTCTGTGTAAAGAATTGTGTCAATCAAAGATCTTCTTCACAATGCTGCATAATGAAATTCAAGATTTAAAGGTCATGACTAGATTTTCTAACTGCAAAAGCGTAGAAGGGGCGTACAGTTTATTTTTTATCAATTTACATATATCCCACTGTACTATCTGATGGGAATTTACAAATATTTTTGTCAATTTTACACACCCCTCTGGTCGAATTAACACGACTTTCTCATAATTTTCTGATCTATTTAGAAATTTACAGGAGGTTACTTGGAACTCTCAATTTTGATCATCCCGGAAAATTATAGCAAGCATAATTGACCGAGGTGGTTAAAATACATGCACTGCAGTTTTAATTAGGTGTAGACAGTTTTTCGAAACTTTTCCAACACCCTACCAGTAGGAGTTGATGAGGAAGTTACCATGTCTTAAGTTTACAATATTTCTTTGAATTTCCAGGACTCCTCGAGTTCTTTGTTGTTCTTTTTGCTTTAGAAAGCCGTCTGAACACTTTCCACAATCGATGTGTCTAGAAATTACTACAAGGCGCAAAAAACTATACTCGTAGAAAGCCCTGAACATAACCCAAACAAAAGGCTTAGGTTTCTCTAAAAACGGCGTAACTACCACGATAAACCGACTCTTAAATGTTGCTTAGATCTTTTCTAGAACCTTATATCATTATATGTCTTTTCTGGTGGTGCACGTGAGCACAAACGCTTTGATATAGAACTACGAGTAAAAGAATAGGTACCGTCAAGTGAATATCAAGCTCAGGAAATGACCTCTAAGGCATACAATAAGTGAAAGGAAGACCCAAAAACGCTTTTGACAGCGACATTATGACTGCTTTAAAATGCACGGTTCGAAAACCTTTTATGTCGTTCTCAGAACTTGTTAAGACCTTTCCAAACCATGGTGCATCGACAGCTTAGCTTTAGTTGGGTCCCTAAGGAATTCTGGAAAGGGTCTAAACAGGGCGCGTTTAGATTGTTTTCTAGAGAATCTCCGCACTCTCCAAAGAGTGTAATGTTATTCCAGAAACTTCAAAAATTCGTCGTAAGGCTCTTACGAACAGTTTTTGCACCACCTGAAACCACATATAAGCTCTACCGAGGGAGAGAGGGCTTGAAAATCCACGGAATGTCTTAAAAAAGCTTATAAAGTGATTAGAGGCATGGAAGGAAAGTAGAAAGCTCACTGTAAAAGATATAAAGTTCCGGCATAAGCCAGTCAGAAGAGCTCGTAAAGGGCCCTAGAAAGAGCGCGATTTAATTATTTAGGGCTACTTTCTAGTAAATGTTCTCCTTGCTCATGCAAGAAGCACTTCGTGTACGTACGTTAATTCACTTACAAGTTGTTTCGATGCATGATGCATGACAGGTAAGTTTTCAATTTCGAAACTTTCATTTTATGGCTACACTGCATTGTCTCAAGTAAGCCAAGTCGGGCCACTTTTTTTAAGTAACCAACTAAATTCATAGCATTTTGAAAAAAAAACGTAGAGAAATTGTTAGCTCTATTTCGGTCCAAATATGAGAAATTGCGGTTTTTCACTTCCGGATTCATTTTTGACTCTTCCCAGGGCCCAGACCCTTGAACTGTAAAAATCAGAGAAAAACCACCATCTTGAATATCTCCATTCCGGCCCATTTTCAGACTTGGCAACAGGCAGAATCGGATTCAGCGGGATCAAAATAGAGGAAAACTAATGCTTCTAGCTAAATGTGGTCTGCAATGGTTCTATAGAGCTCTAGAAATTCCTTGGAAGGTTTTGGAAAGCCTTCATCCATTGAATAAAAATTACATTATTTTAACGCTTCAAGGACCAGTTCTGTGGTCATAGGAGAACACTAGAGCGTTACAGACCGTTTGATGGATCGGGTGTGCCTTAAAAACCCTAGAAAGTTTTTAAGTTAGGTACTGGAAAATGTACATACATTTACCTGGGAATTTCAAGGAGTTGGCAATAATAATTTCGGAAATTTGCAGATCTGTCTGGGAACGCGCAGGACTTTCTGGGAATTTCATGTTCAGCTGCAAATTTATGTAAAGTATAGGGTGTGCGACGAGCTGAGTCGATTTATCAAGTGGGTGACTATTAATATCAGTATGGTATGTGAATAGATTTTTGAAATGTAGTGCGTTTTAGTCCCGATGCACTTAGGTAATAAAATCAAGAAAGTTTGGTCTCAGTATATCAGATTTGTGCTGTAGTGGAGTGTTATGGTGTTTTTGTACACTCTATAATATGTCTACATGGTTGGTAGACCGGAATCAGGTATGTGTTCTGTGACCGACATTCTCTCAGGGGAGTATTATAAGTAATAATTAAAAATGTTATTATGTTTTGTTCTTTCTGCATAGGGATGGTAGTGATATTAATTAGAAACTGTTATTTCCCACAGTAAAATCTAATACGATGAGAAAAAAGGGAATTTCCCATTAAGACATTTTTGTAATTTTTTTTAAATATAAAATATTCTCCAAATTTAAAAAATGAATAAAGTCAGCACATTATAATAACTGAGTAAATTTTCAGCACATCCAGAAGTCATGCAAAACTGAAAATGTTAGGTGAACCAGGTTCATTGTCGAGTAACCCATACATGCAAAATGTTCTTGTTCAGATATACCTATATAGGTAACAATCGTCATTGGACAACCTCTATATTATCTCAGATACGTATGCAGATCTGTAAATTCACAGAATGATCTGGCAACTCTTTGGAATACCCCAGATAAATGTGTAAATTTACAGTTAGCTGGGCAAGTGTAAATTAATTAAAAATCATTTGTATGGCCCTCTGTGCTGCTGTACCTCACTACTTTAATCCAAACTAAGTTTCCATCAGGTATTTATTAAATGATCTAAAACTAAAGCATCACATCAATCCACTATAACTTATGTTGGGTAGGTACATACCAAGTAGCATTAAAGGTTATCCAATGCACAGCATTTAGATACCTATCTTAATCACCATAATGCATTTTTTTAAGTGGCTCACGGTCAATCATTGACCTCCCAAATCCTAACTATAAACTTTGTGACAAGGGTCATGCAGCCCAGATAAATCGAGATGTTATTAAAATTGCAGCCCAACTAAATTCTTATACCTAATTAATAAATTAATATGTGGATTTATGTGTAGGTATCCTGAACAATACCAATCAATTTTTCCTTCACAGTCACAAAATAAAGTAAACCTAGAGTTAGCAATGACCTACTTCTTAATGAGTCAACCTTCAACCTTACATCTGTTTTATTTACAACAAATAAGAAACAATTACAATTATATAACCGAACCAGTGAAACATCACTTCTTGCCCTCGACCATTATAATATGATAACCAAATTTCGTTTTAATTGGAGGATCTGTATAAATAGGACTATTCACAGTCGAAATCGGTAAGGCAAATGCTGCATCTTGAAATGGACCGACCATCGAGCCTCTCGTCATCCAACCTAGATCGCCACCTTGCCTCGCCTTGTCTTCGCTGTAAGCCGTCGCGACTTCGGGGAATCTCTGACCACCTTTTAGTTTCTCTAAGGCCTCCAAGCATTTGCTTTGTTTTTCGCAGAGTATGTGTCGAACTTTAACAGCTGTGCCCCCCTTTTTCTCTTTGCCGGCAGCACCTTGTAAAGCAAAAGTTGGGAAAGTTTCGAAATTGAGATGTCTTTACCTTTGTCGGCATCGTCAGACTTTGCCGCTTTGGCTCCTTTGGAAGCTGTGCCCTTTTTCGGTGGCATTTAAACTGTGACTTGGAGTAAACAAACTTTTTGAGGTTATGTGTACTGCTTGCATAACCTCTCAATGAAGAGGGAAATAATTTGAAGTGCAGACATGACTTGATAAATATAGATTTAAAATGTTGAGCGTTGAACGATTGCGATAATTAGAGGACGTTTTCATCTTGTGATACCAAGTAGATGTCAAGGTGTTATTAATTTAGTGTCGATACTTAAAAGTAGCAGTAAGCATGAAAGAGTGGTTGAAAATTTCGATACTGCTGTGTGTGTTCGGATTCCTCAAGGAAATTCGACCCTCGGAGCCCTTCATTTACGAGTATTTAATTGGACCATGGTGGAACAATACCGAGGAGCAAGTAACGCAGCAAGTCTATCCTGTCGGAACATATGCGCAATTAGCGCAACTGGCAATTGTTTTTTTGATCACCGACTTATGTCGGTACAAGCCATTAATTGTGCTTATGGGACTGTCTGGAATTACGGCTTGGGGGATGTTGCTGTGGGGTAAAACGTTGTTCCACTTGCAAGTTCTTGAGGTAAGCTTTTTTGTGTAGGTACCTGGTAATTATAGTTATGTAGTCATTTGCAAGGCCAGGAGGAGGCACCTTCCGAATGATTAAATGAATTATTTTTTTTAAACAATACTAGAGAGAATTTTTATTGTTCAATTGGTACCATTAATTAGTTGTTGCTCTCTGTATTGTAATTACTTGGTACTTTGTTGTTTTAGCTAATGCAAAAAAAGTTACCTAAATGGAGTTGAATAATTCGAAATCTAAACATGACATCACATTAACCATTCAAATTTAATTAGTGCAAAACTAGGAGTGGCTGGCTATTAATAACTAATTTTGATTTTATTTGTGGTCAAGGTGGTTTATGGTCTAATCGCCTCAGGATGTGTTGATATCATTCAGTATTCAGAAAAGGACGTCAATACATTTGGCAATTTTTAATATTCACTATATGAACTGTGTAGTAAATAAATATTCGTTATCTACTTTCATGTTTATGGAATTATCATTTTTGTAATAACTCGGGTAATTCCATGCCCTGTGTTTCCAGGGTTAAAGATTTTCTTCAACTGATAACTTCTTGCACTTTAGAAATGTTAGTAGAGGTGGACTAGGTTTGAGCATGTGTGTTTATTAAATTAGCATAATTTTAGAAGAATCTGTTTCCTTAATTGCTAACTTAATTTCATTCATTTCTCATACAGGTATTAATATTAAACTCACTTAGAAATTATAATATTAAATTGCCTATTTAGGTACCTACATACAGGAGTACCTCGAGAGGTACTTATGAAAAAATGCAAAAAAAAACAGTGACCGTATATTTGTTATTGTTAAATCTTATAGGTAATTCCGAGGGTAATCCCTATACAAATTGAGAGGAAAATGCAAGCATAAAAAAACTAAAAATAAAACATATGGAATTTTTCCGGTAAACAAAATTTGAAACCAAGTTTGAAATATACAAACAATAAATTTCTTTTTTACACATGTAGGTATTGATTTTTCTCTAGTCCTTATTCACTTAGGTTTCTTTATGGTTCTATTTCAGAGGGGAAGATTCGTAATTTTTTTCTCTACAAAAACCTAGACTTTACTCTAAAATAATTAGGGAATTCAATAATCGGAAATTAAAAAATTACTATTGAAATTCCTAGGGCGTGTTGTTAAATTTGCCTAGGTAGGATAGGCATTAGAGGGGTACCTATAGGATGGTCCCTGCTTACTCCAAGTGCATTTGTCCTTCAATTTATTCCCACCTTTCACCTTTTTCAGTGAAACTTGGACCTCAAAAACTTTGTAATCACATTCTGAATCGAAAGTTTGCTTACGAGAATTTATAAGGAGGATAAGTTTTTATAATGTAGCTGAATTGGGGTGCACTAGCATATTAAGTGCAAATTCTCTTGAAGGAAATTCCCCTAGGGGCATGACTGGATTCTGACACAAACGAAAATTACAGGATGTCCCAATTGCTATTTCCAATGCTTAAACGGAAATTACGTTAACACCACGTAAATTTTTAACCACAGGGTGGGTCACTTCTCATCGTCAACATTGTTTCGACCTAGAGAAACGACACTCCCTGCAGTTTACATAACAATACTTCATAGAGAGCTTCATAGTAAACTTGCACCCTATCCATTTCCAGGTAAAAAAGACGATACAGTAACATTTTGTTACATAAAGGTAACAGTAAAGTAGCAATTACATTAGTGATAATAGTGAAGATACAAATAAAAAAACTCTTAATAGAGAAAAGTGTCCTAAATATTTGGGACTGAATGTCATACAAATTCCAAAACGAGAATAATACATACAACCTGGCAATAAACATAAAATGTTTTAATCCAATACTGAATTTACCCATTAGACACGAATTGTGGGCTTATGTCAATGTTTTGAAATTTGTGTGCTTGCAGGTCATATATGGGACATTTATGGCCACCGAGGTAGCTTACTACACGTACATATACGCCAAGGTACCAAAAGAGTATTATTCACAAGTGACCGGGCATACACGAGCAGCAATTTTAGCTGGACGATGTTTGTCGGGAGTATTAGCTCAACTTTTAGTCACGTTAAGTTGGATGGATTACAGGGAATTAAATTATATTACATTCTCCGGTAAGTACTTTATGTATAAATAAATATTATTTACGTATCATTGAATAAATGTTGCATTATATTATTTTGCATATTTTTTCATTGATATTGGTATCGTGTCAGGACAAAGTCTGTAAAAGTTAATGCGGTCAATTATTAGAAATTGATTAAGAGGAACAGAACGCATATTTCCACTACAATTTTTTATTTCTTCTTTTATTTTAAATCGCTTATCGTACCACAATTGCTATCCGATATGTTATCATGTAGATACCTCAATAAACTCATTACATTATCTTGGCAGTTTTAGATTGTTTAAATATTTTGGTATTACTTTATTATTATTATTATTGCCAAACTCAGCTCATTGGGCAGATTTTCCAAGAGCATAAATACATACGCAGGCTTACATGAATCAAATTTTAACCAGAATATTGTAAAGGATCCATGTCGGTTTGAAACTCTTAATCAGGTGTACCATACTTTGTATACATAGATAGAGTGTGGGAGAAGACTGCGATTATTGTTAGACATATTTTCTGCAAAAGTTCACATTAAAATAAACTATTTCTGACAATGTTGAACGTTTTATTTAATTGGCAGTGATGATAGCTGCGTCAGTGTGGAGTATATCACTGCCATCGGTGAAGATGAGTATCTACTTTCACCGCACGCCCGAAAAGGAACTACTTACAGCTAGAGAAAAATACCAAAGCGCCTTCTCGCTCATGAAAACCCACTTTGTGGAATCATTCAGCAACAGATACGTGGCCAAGTGGTCAATTTGGTGGGCATTGGCTACGTGTGGATTCGCATTAGTGCAATCGTACATGCAACCGTTATGGACCGTCATCCACACGGATCCGAACAGCGTCCTCCATAACGGATCGGTAGAAGCAGTACTGACGTTGATCGGTTGCTTTGGCGCTCTATCTATAAGTTTTATTAAGGCAGATTGGAGTCAAAGAGGTGAATTGGTTTTATCACTTTGCTCAATTTTAGCCGGTGCTCTTCTTATTATAAGTTCACAGACCAATTATATCTTAGTAAGTTACGTTTGTTATGTAGTTTTTGGAGGTTTGTACCACTTTATGATTACCATTGCGTCTTCCGAAGTTGCGAAACACATTCTGGAAGACAGTTACGGTTTGGTATTCGGTTTGAATACACTCATCGCCTTAGTGCTGCAAACCATTATTACTGTGTGCTTAATTTCCGGAGATATCGGAGTAGCGTTACCACCTAGGCCTTTGCACTTAGCATTTGGTATCTACCATATGGGTATTGCAGTCATTTTTATAATCATTGGTATTATCGATTGGCTAAAGAGTCATGCGGATATTAATAAAACATACTGAGTTGATAGAAACTCATTATCCAGTGACAGTTCCTCATGTACTGATCCTATGCTTCAACCGACTTAAAGTAAGGCTCAGATAGTATCGATTGCATTTATTCTAAAAGTATTAAATCTGTACCAAAATCAAATCTAGTTTGCTCGAGTTTGTAAATTTTTTTGAAATTAGCAGCGGCCTTAACTTGCACAGATTGTATACGTTTGTGGTACATTCATATACCAAACTTCCAAATCGATAAATCATAGTCCCTATTTTTTATAAAATTTTGAAGCATTTTCCTTAGTCTTTACATGGTCAGTGTGATTTAAAATGAACTTTGTGGTCACTACATGCTATTCTATGATAATTCAGTGAAGTAAGACCTATAGCTACTGAGTATGAAAAAGAAACGACACAAAAAAGACATGTACATATTTACATAGAAAATAAATTTTATTTTTATAGATGTTGGTACCATATTATTTGTGATAATATTCAAAGTGATGTGTGTAGTTTATGTAGGTAGATATTTATATTCAGGGTGTGTCAAAAGTATCGGCACTTAGTGTATAACAACTGTCCTTTCGCTTGCGGAGTTGAATTTGATTTAATAAATTATTGTAATTGTAAGGGTTCATATAAGTACCGTTTTTAAGATAAAAATTATCATACTTATCAAAAGAGCAATTTTTTCAATCTTTTTGCAATTCCAGTTTTATAACGATATGAACCAGCTGTAAAATTTTTCAAAAATTGATGAACTTTTTTCCTATGGAAACTATATACAGGGTCACTATTAAAGATGGAACCAAAGCTCTCACGCTCCTGAGATATAGGCATGAAGATTAGTTCCTTTCCATTTGAAATTTCACATATTTTGAGATTAAAAAATTTTTTGGGACGTGGTTCTTGAGTACGACATAGGCAACATAGGTCATGTGGTACGTCATTTGAAAGATTATTTTTTTCTTTCTTACTAGGTACCTGAAACATGTACATGGGGAAAAGAATACAGAAAAATTAAGAAAAACCTTGCCGTATACTTGGCTGGCTAATGTATTGCACTTTAAATTGAGATACCTTTAAATTAACAGAACGTCAAAAATTAACCAAAAAGCAACGAGCAGTTGTTTAATAAGTGACAAAAACATAGTACGCATGGTTTTTTTATACAACTATTGTATTAAGTGAGAAGTGGCTTTGGTTCCGTCCTAAATAGCGACCCTGTATATTAATTTCTTTCTCTTAAAATATCTTACTCATACTTCTGAGACACTCCCCACACTTTGCCTATGTATCACTTGTTAGCTCTCTCACTATGACAGTATTTGAATTTGCAGCTAGTATGTTTTAATTACGCTAAAGAAAGACCCACGTTGATGGAGGGAAAAGAATTGTGTCTAAATCTGAGACATGTTACAGTATAGCACACACTGTAGAAACTACAAATTATCAAGCGTGATTTTGTACTTTCCCCAAAGAATCGTATAATGCCAAGTTTAATACTGTTTTTGTTAACTGTTAAGTATGTGAATTAAGGTTGTATTATATAAGTACTTATGTTGATTGTACCTCATTGTGATTAACTTGTTGTTTTACTACATAATTGAATCATCCTAAGCAAAATATAGTATATTAATACTGTTATGTTTTTGGACCCTTTTATTTTATATTAAATACGTTACGATTCTTTGTTGTTTTGTCATTTGTAAAGTATTTTTTATGAAATGCACTGTTAATACTTGTGTGAATTTTGTTCGTCTGCAGGTTAGAGATCTCAGCAGCGGTAGTGCATTTCTTTAATAGGTTTCATCAGATAAGAGTGGACAAAAAATGCTGCAAAAAGTCTGCAGACGTTCGATTTTGTACCTTCCTCTTCAGTGCTATGTACCCTTCTCTCAACAGGTATCAATGGCTCGAGCAGAAGGCATGATCAAAAAAGAAATTAATGAATATTTTCATCTCCTGAAATCATGGATAAACTAGACCTATTAACAAACCAGCAATAATACTGCCTTTGACAGGTATGGCTGTTTCAAGCTAGATCCTGGCTCATCAAAATCGGTCCGGCGCAACAGTAATGTGGCTTACTGCAATGCTAAAGGAAGTTCTTTACCGCCCTTGCCCTAGGATCAGCAATAAATATGACTCAAAATATGCGTCATGGACCACAAGTACTAATGGATGGAAATAGTCTACATAGTTAAATGAAGACTATTTCTTGAAATCCCAGAATAGAATCAACTACTACAAAAAGCCTGGTAACAAGCTGCAACCATGCCTATATTGAGTTTTCAGGTACCAGCATATGACTACAGCATGGATGTGAGGTACGAATTTGGAAGCCTGCCCTTCTGAACCTAAACTGAGCACGTTTGGTCCAACTGTCCAAGGCCTGAACAGAAAAAACCCCAAGAGCAACGCAGACTGAGGAGATACTCACCAAGTGCTTACAAATTTTTGATTAATTTTACGAAAGACAGAAATAACAGAATTGTTTTCCTTAACTCCGAATCAACAGAGGTTTTTTTATTTGTGTTTTTAAATTGTAGATGTTACCACAGCCATATTTGTTTCATTTTCAATGTGAGAATAATCCTACATAGTACACACTTAAAACCCCCTAACATAGTAAAGGTTTGCACATTGGTCGTAGTGCAGTGTTCTCTATGCTCACATCAAAAGAACCCACAAAGAAACTGCCCATGTAAATAACAATAAAAAAAATAAATGAATACAAAGCAATCCACTATCTGAATAACAATAGCACAGATTAATCTGTGACAATAGCAATATATAAAAGATCTTTACAATAATAGATGTAACGCCTCTCCCATACAATTTAAACAACCGACTAAATTAACTAGTTTTTGGGTGATTTCACTTTTAAAAAGCCGATACGTCTTAAGTAGCTAACAATAAATGGTGTAGCACCAAGAGTGATGCTAATGCGAACAGGTGCAAACACTTTGTGAATCGCATACGCTGTTACAAAAGTCCCAGCATTAGCCGCAATCGATCCACTTATGCCTAAATACGCTAGTATTTTGCTCATATCTAAACCGCTGAAAATAAAACATTAACTAGTGTAACTGGTCAAGTTGTTACCCACCTCGATACCAACAGATAACAAACACCTAGAGATGCCAGGGATATAGTCACATGGAATATAACCACTGTACTGCCATATTCTTTAACAGCCCGTTTCAATTTTTCTTTTTTAGTGGGTTCTACTGGCTGATCACCTTTTTTGCTTGTCGAGCAAAACCTATTAAAATTGATGGGATGTTTCGAATTTAGGAGTAGAAAATTAGAAGGTGTACTGCAAGTGGGATATTGGCAAAATTCGAATTTTTTATAACTTGTAACATGGAGTGATCTAAAACTAGGCTCGGGTTCATAGTCTTTCAGTATTGTTGCTATTGAGAGTATGCGGTTATTTGTTCCGTGATCTGCAACACCAAGATTAAACCTAATATGATGGAGGGTTTAATACTCACTTAGAGTTTTTGGCAAATTTAAGGATAAGTTAAACGCCCTGTATATTGTTTTATACATTTTGTTTAAAAATTACAATTTGAGGTTAAGTTGCATATTTATTATTATTTATTTCAAAAACCACAGAGACTACATAGAAGGGAAATTCTCATATCTTTATTTTCAACTGTTGCCTGATTGGAAACACTCCAAGGATCTTAAAGAACCATTGATTAAAAAGTAATACTTTTATTGGTAATACCATCAAACATGTCGTTTATTACTTATGGGTGCAAATGCAGCAAGTAAATATTATTCCATATCGCTTCTCATGTCATCGTCCCACCGTTATGTTACCCAGATTGACCTGTAACAGTCCATCCCGGTCTCAGCAAACGGTACTCCTATTTCAAATCTACATTAGGGTAGCTGATGGGACATCTTTGGTCTGTAGGTCGATGCTGTATTACTTATCTTGCATTTCATACATTCAAGTGATACCTACCTACCTTCTTTGACAAATTCCTGAGTGCGATAACAAAATATTTCTGTCTTGACATACCTAATTATTCTCTCCCTGCCCATATGATTTGCTATCATCATTCGTGTAATTTTTTGCCTATAGAGTCAAGTATACTTACTACTAACTACTGAGTTCCAACCGACCTCCAACACATATTAAAGCGTTCTTCACTTCTGGTGTCGGGTTATAAAGTCTAACTTTTCTCACTTTTGTGATTTTCCTTTTTTCATCAGCGCTCCTCTGTGAAACTCTCTTCTTGGCTTTTCTGTATCCAGATCCACCACATTCTTCAATTTCTCCAATTGTCAATTCCCTTGCCAAATGTGTTGTCCTCTAGCACGTCTAATAAATCTTTTTACCCACACCCTTACTCTCACTAATCTAGTCCAATTCGAGTAATTCTCTGGGTCTATGATATACTCATTCATATAGCTATCACTAAAATCTTTGTTCCTTTTATCTCTAGCTCTGGATTCTGGATTTATTTTCCGAACGTTCTGCTTTGGCCATTCATTTTCTTCTTCATATAAGAACTTCGGGCCAGTACCATCACTCCAGGCACAGATTATCCTATACTAAGCGTAATCGCTGTGCTCCAGGTGATCATCACCCATTCTGGTCCTCTTGTGGCTTCATTGGCTGGATCATCCGAGGTTGGTACCCAATGCCAACTAGATTGCCCAGACACAATCGTTTCGTTTTCATAAACCGGCTTTCCAATGCAGCGTGTAATTCCACACCTGGGATGGACATTTGCTTCAATGGAGCAATCGTTCTCGCAGCAATAAATAAGTCACTTCAAATTTTGCATTATTTCCTCGGCGTTTCCTTATTTCTTTCTATCTTCATATTAGAAGATATCTTTTTTAAATATCCTTTCTCAATATATTCTTTAAGTTTACTGCAATATTGTCTCGCAAAGACAGATAAAATTTAATTTCGGAAAATGGATAGAATGGAATGATTCGAATTTAGGTACACTGCACAAAAATTCATAAATGTGTAATTATTTACAAATGTTTAATAGTAATAATAATCATAATGAGAAATATATAAATATAGTTTATACATTCTATAATACAAGAATACAGATTTATAAAACGTGACAATATTCATGTAATACATAAAAATTTCTATTAAATGAGCTATACATGTATAACAAGCTGGGTGGACGTCCATTGCAGCACAAGAAGGCAAACATTATTTTTGCACTTACGGTTATTAAAATTGACTGCTAATTCACATTAATCGATCATTATCACACTTTAATTAGTACTAAAAAATACACATATGCAGCATCTCTGCATCCAACACAGAGCTATTCTGCAAGAAGACTAACATTTTGTTTGAGCACGCATTTTATTTGTACAATTTTATCTCAAATATATATAATGAAGGCGTATATACAACTTTCACACTTTATACAAGTAAAAAAATTACAAAAATCTACAAACTAAACTTTTGGTTGGGTCTTATATTTTACACGTTAATCTTACGGATTGATGTGCTTTCAACTAAAACAAAAAAGCACATTCATTGACACGCGTTCTAATTATTACTATACGGTTATGGCACCGTGACATTATTAGTACACATCGCAAATTACTTTGTGCGCACCAGTAACGCCACACTGCACTTCTTCTAGTGATTTGGTTGAGTAGGTACTTGAAAGTTGAATTTACTTTGTTAAGGATAATGACTTGAAATAGTTATGCCTTCATAAACAAAATTTCGTAGATGTAAGTAATGTACAACGTCTTTTCATTTATTCCAATTTTGTGGGTAGAAACAGTGCAATGTGGCGACACTAGTAAGTAATAAAACAAATGAACACAATAAGAACTAAAACAATAATTATGTACAGGTCAATATTTACAACTTTGTAAATTAAAATATAATAGTAGGAGTGGTGTGCGTAAAACCTTCGATTAATAACAATAGAAGAGCAACGCGTAGCGCAAATCATGTCGTATAGAGGTAGATTATAATATAAATACTTATAGCTACAGTATATGGTAAAAAATATAAAAATTCCAAAGTGTATATATCGGTAAATTTTGAAATATATCAATTTGTTATTAAAAATTTACTTAAATCACAGGACTGTGATGACATTTAAAGGAACACATTGATTGCTAAGAAGCTTAACGAATATTCCTACACATACGCTGCCGAATGTCGCCCCTGTAGCTTGTTCATAAAAACTTTCCAACTGTGCACCGTTTTACCTGACCAAATCCATACGCTCGAAGTAATGCCCACTATCATGTACATCAGGTATTTGATCATGAATACTTCAAACTGAGGTCTTCGATCTGGATCCCTCGTTCTTGGACAAGGTATTGTATATTGTGGCTTATTGAAGCACATATCCTTTCGCCACGTGTTTATCCACATGTCGAAGAAGTAGTGCTCGTAAAAGAGACAAGCGATAACAATGAGTGCAGGTACCGTATAGAGAACGGAGAAAATTCCTATTCGTATCATCAACTTTTCCAACTTGTCCGTTTTTGTGCCGTCATGTTTCATAACCGTGCGAATTCGGAAAAGCGAGACGAAGCCGGCCAGCAGAAATATCGTGCCCAAAATTAGATATCCGCATAGTGGGGAAAGCACAAATGCCCGTAAGGCGTCCACATTCCACACGCCGACATAGCAGACCCCGCTTAAAATGTCACCTGAAACAAAAAGTAACTATTAGTTTTGAATTACAGCATTACATTCCAATAATAACCACACAGTAGGTACTACTTATTAAGAAGGGTTTCCACAAGGTTCCATTTTAGGACAACTGCTTTTTTAGCTACTAAGTAGGTACTAACATTATGTGTAAACGAATCAATACCCTAAGTCGTAATCATAAGATAAAAGACGACTTCATCAGAAGGTCCATCCTCTATGTTCTATTCACGAAGAGCAGATATGTATTTTCCAATAAGAACGTCTGAATATAAACATGGAATAAAAGGTGGCATTTAATAAATGGGAGTATAGTGATTAAATATAGTCTTCCTGTAGGTAAAAGTGAATAGGAATTTAATTGTGAATCTCGGTTAGTTCTTAAGATTATAGTATTTATAGTGACCAAAGGAAGTTACATAAAATAGTTACCTATTTGTACAACTAGAGAAGAAAATAGAGTTTTCCAACTCGAGTGTGTCAATTGAACGAAAGTTGAAAAACACTTTCTTCTCAAGTTTTACACATTACTTTACTTTCCTCACTAGAGAGGATTTTCTTCACCCTGTTTAGAGACGAAAGTAGTTGTTTCTAAAGTAGTTTCAGAAAAAACTTATTAATCAGTTTTTGAAATCCGCGAAATTCTGCAAATTTTCATACGTTAAAGATCAAATTTGTTTTATCGTTTGAAATATACCTACTAGAATTTTTACTATTCAGTTGAAAATGTGAGAGCAGCGCGTCTGACTTTTAATCATACCTGTAACGAATCAATTTCGATATTCCATTTTTGTATAAAGAAAACCCGTTAAATTTAAAGTAGATATACGTAATTCGTAGCGAATGTCAACGGGTTCGAAGACCCCATCGAATCACGTAACTACATGTCCGTCTGTACCTAATACACTTAATTCCTGCAATTTACTTAAATTGCACCATTAAATTACGAAGGATTCGAGCTAACCCAGTTTGACCAATCGGGAATGCAAGTCATATATTGTAATAGTTCATAATTACTGGGTAATATGAAAAATAATTACGCCACGGACTGAGATAATAATTACGATAACGTTAAGAGTTTATATATCCTTTGCTGTTGATGGAATAATTTATGGGTACTCCCGTCCTTATTAAAACAGTGTAATATGGTGGAAGAAAAGTGGAAATTAACATCCTTAGCTGCAGCAGTAGGTACTCTACTGGCTGATGTCCTTTATTTGCTATATCGACGCGCAGAATATTAATCGCAGATCTTAATTCAAATAAACGATTCGAAAACAGTAGCGGTAATGTATTCTGGTATGGTAATAATTAAATTTCTGTTTAACGGAGCGAATTTAATCTATGCGCGGTTATGGCTGTGCGTCGTCAACCAATCTTTTTCTTAAATTCATAGCGATTTGAAAGGGTGTAATTACAAGCTATAAAACGGAATGTAATCATGCAAAAAAGGCAATTTGTCGAATTTTCCAAGCGGGAAACGCCACATTAAATATCGGTCATTTATAAAAGCGGTTGTCAATAGCACTAGCTTGCGCTCGACACCCTGCGCTACCCCAGTCGGAGCGATGTTAAACGAGCAACAGAGTGTATCCGCTTATCGTGACGGGATTAAAATTGAAATCTTCTCGTGAATGTGGGTGGTTGAAAAATATAAAAGACGATCCTTTATAACGTTCAGAAGTTGACGTTAATTTATGGAAGTTTCTGTTTAATACGAATTGTATTAAAATAAATTGCTTTCCCACTTTTTATCTGTACTTTATTCAAATTTGTGAGGTCATCCTTAGCTATGTTACTTTAGGAATAAAAATAGAAGTAGGAGACAAGAAAGAGGGAAGTAATTGGTAATCTCTACTTCCATACACATTTTTACAGTATTAGGATAGTAGTTTCTTTAAAAATTCCAAGAACCCTCGATTATTTGTGGAGGTATTTAGATTCTACCATACTTATGGAAATCTTCAATTTGTTGCACACCGGTTGCACTGTACCTACCAACATGATCAATGAACAAATGATATTGGGCTTTAAACCGACACTGACCTAACGGTGTTTATAGCTAAGAACGTTTTGATATTAAACATCAGTCGCACTGAAGTTATAATCTGCAGAGTCCTTGTGAAATAAAAGAAGCGAAGAGAAAAAAGCGAGAAAGCAAAACGAAACGATGTAGGTAGATGCACTGAATATTTATTTTTGTTCTACTTAGTTCTCGTCGATAGGTGCGATCCACGACAAATGTCTCTACGCATTTACTTATACATCTTAACACTTAGTTAACTACACGTCCAGGTAAGCCCAAAGCTCGAGTCCCATAATCCAGGATCTATGTACATACCTACGAGTGCGGTCCGATAAGTAGCTATGCCTAGTCTACAAAAAAAAATGAAAATTTTGGAAAAGTGGCGATTACTTTTTCAACATTTTCTCCTTCAACCTGCCTGAAAAATACGTTTTCTCGAAGTCTACAAAGTAGGTCTTACCTCCTCTTTCGACTGAAATTTCTGCCCGGCGAGTGACTTTCAAATTTGGAAACAATGGGTTCAACTGTTTAGCCGGCCGATATCATCGAGATTTTGTTTGATTTGGATTCCTGCTATTTCAAAATGTGTAATTTCAGTAAAAAAAGTGGGGTAACTTTTACCCCAATGCAATTATTAGGTACTAAGTGCGGGTGGTAGAAATGTACTGATTGCACCATGCGGCGCCAAAATTATTAATTTCAGCTCGTTCCGTTAAATAATTTAAAAGGACGGATATGAAAAACTCAACAATATGAATATGCGTCTAGTGCGCAATGTTATTCAAACCTAATGCGCGCAGGTGCGTGGCCACGTCATTAAGTAACGACGCCGCAACTGAGTTTCAAATACCTAACTTGATAAGACCGGCTTCCATTACCCAAAATGCCGTAATTAAAAGCTATCCTTTTTCGCTTATTAAACAAAATTATGTCCGATCGTGTGGTAAATCCGTTCGCGTTGTGTTACCATTGACTTTTGTTTGGCCCTCCAGAACTAAAAATGAGGAAAGGTAAGTCATTTTCATTTCTTTGCATGATGGAATGGGTGAATTCGCGAACGAAATTACTTTAGACACTCCGGGAGTAATAATTGGAGTGCACAATAAGCTGGTAAAATTGAACTCCAAAATAGAAAAATTGTAGTCCGAAAAAGGTAAATTTTATGAAAAATATCAGTTGGATTGCTGTAGATGCAACTTTCTGAAAGTTTTTGCCCTAATATCAAGAACTTCTAAATAAATTCATTTCAATATTAATAATTGCATTCAAATTTCATTACAAAATATTCAAGTCAGGTAAATAATAAACCACATCTGGTGCATTGCATAAACAGATGCGGCGATACGTCATCGTAAACGACGCTGCTAGTTTTCAAATACCCGATAAGGCCGGCGTAAGTTACCCAAAATGGTGTAAATTAATATCAGTTCCTTTTATCGGTTGGAGAAAGGTATCGCTCGCGTTTAGTTTTCGTGCTTGGTAAATTGACATTGCGCTTTTAAATGGTTCTTGAAAAAATGTAGCGTTAAGATACTTATAAAGGTAAGCCGTTTCATATTTATCATAATTATGCAAAGAATAGAGGAAAGGGCTTTCCATAGGTTTTAGAAAGCCTTCCACAACTTCAGCTTTAATCTGCGATTTAGGCTGGGGAATAATTTTGAATATAACATATTCAAAACGGTGCTAAAAGATTACGCGAACAGGTGGATTGTAGATAATAGATAACCAGTTCGCATTTATTCCATTGTTGTAATTAACACATGCGGTGACGACGCAACGCCACGTCACCATAAACGACGCGCTGGTTTCCAAATGCATGATAAGATCGGCATACGTTATCGAAATTTTGAAATTAGTCAGTGCGATTTGTCGGTAAGAAAAGGTGTCGTTACGTTTGAATGCTTGGTAATCCAAGTCTCATTTTTTATACTTGTCGTGTGGCAAAAATTCGCTTCTCATCTAAAGGGTCAATTCATATTCCGTTTTCTTTGAATGGAAATATTTGGTACCAATTGTCCTAATTTAACCGTTTTGAGAGAGAAACTATTAGTAATCCTATTTGAAATGTTGAAAGTACTTTTCTATTTTTCCAAATCAAATTGAAGTTCGGCCATACGTGACAAACTATATACAGCAATGTAAAAACCTCTGAGGTAAAAACACAGTTACATCAAATCCTAACTTATCCTTCGGTAGTTGCCAGCGTGTTTCCTATGTAATATCAATCTAAACCATGTTTTAGCATGCCAATAATTTTTAATTTTAGAAATCGTGTTTTCCCATGTCAGTACTGAAAAATCCACTAAGAGGAACATGTAATTAAATGTAAACAGGCTACGACTTTTCGTCCTTGTAAACTTCAGTCAGGTACAGTGGTGTACTAGGGCGAGAATAGGAGGGTTGCCCGTAAATTAAGGCTTTTTCACATAGTAAACATATTATTGCAATCAATGACAGACTCTGAAATCTTCGACTTTTAGCTATTTTTTTAACGTAGTCCCCGTCAGTTTTTGACTCCGAAAGCTTTCTTATTTATTAATATATTTTGTTGAAATTATAACCACAGATACTTCTAGCAAAGACAAACAGATGTGCGCGTGAGCAAACTGCGCAATGTCAACTTTCTTATTTTTTGATTTATTTCTTTGAAATTTTAATTATAGATGCTTTTATAGAGAAAAACATAGCTATAGCCAGCATTTTGGAAAGTACTGATAAATGCATGGAAAATGCGCTTGTTACTTGTTTTCAAATTTTAACCACGGATGCTTCCAGTAAAGACAAGCATATCGCATATTGTAAAAATCAGATGTAGGCATGCGACTGCGCAATGTTAAGTTTCTTATTTATAAGAATATATTTTCCTGTGTGCACATAAATAGTCCGTTACATAACTTTTCGGGAAGTACTGATCAACTCATTGAAAATGCACCGAGCTACTCGCCATAGGGCGAGAGCCTTTTTTTCATTTTTTCTAATTAATATTCGTACCGTTGAATGAAAGATCCTTGACTCATATCCGTACTATCCACCTACTTTCAATTTTAAACCGCATTTGATCGTGACTCTGTTTGTCACCTTAGACTGTCGTGCGAAATTTTTTTGTTTCTCGTTAATTGTGCAACAAATTACTGCCCACCCCTAATTTTACACCGGATGATTCGGAAGCTTTTCATCCTCGTGACTCCGAGTAAAATCAAAACGAATGCCGAATCAAAAAATTTGTTTCCAAACCAATTTCTTTATTTGTTAGGTTATTTAAATGAAATGTATGTAGGCACCTCAAATAAAAGTAAAACAAACTAATGCCTATCCAAAAAATGTGTTTTAAAAGCTATGATGATCTGATGGAACAGAATCAAACCCTTAAGGTGTGTTGGATGCGTGAAGATCTCGACTCGAGGATCGTTCGGTATATTCAGTTGTATCGGATTTTTTGTGGTCAAGAACAGGCTGTATTCATGTCTACTTCGTTAAAATCACAAAACTGCTCAATAACTTCATTATTTGCCATCCGATTTCAAACAACGACCATGTTGAATACATAATTTTAACAAGAAATTGTAAACATATACGCCATTCAAACTTCTAGGGGTAAAAGTTGAATTTTTAGGGGTGCGTCAACTTCCTCTTAGTGCGCACATCACTCTCTTAAGAAAAAAAGAAGACCGTCTTATTTACTGAACACAAGTACCTAGATTACCCATATTAACAATGAAGAAAAAGCATTCACTTAATCCCCATTTAAATTTTCTAAATGGACAATTGAGGCACAGTAGATACAAAAAAATTAGTTCATTTTTGGCTTAATGAGGGAGGTGGGCTAAGTGAACGGACCTGACATACCTTTAATTTTAAACCAACAAAACAAATGATTTTTTTAATAAAAAAAATTTAGGTACTTTAATTTTCGTAAGAGTACTCATTTTGGCCAAATCGATGTGATCATTTAATATGCTAGATTT